CATCAATGATGAGCGAGAATCATTGGTCAGCTGCCTCCTGCATGCCCCCTACTGGGGATTGAGCCTGCAACCTGGGCATGTGCCCTTGACTGAAATCAAACCCGGGACCCTTCCATCCGAAGGCCAACGCTCTATCCACTCAGCCAAACTGGCTAGGGCAATATTATCAAATTTTTAATTTTAGCTGTTGGTGAGTGTAGTGGTATCTCATGGTGGTTTTAATTTGCATTTCCCTAATGACTATGATAATGAGATCTTTTCACATGCTTATTAGAGCATAACATTTTGTTTTATGAAAGAGTCAGCTGCTTTTTTAAAAAAGGTTGAAACTCACTGGCTTAGATAAACTATCTGTGAATCTCTCAGTGGGGCCCAGGGCCCATCTCCTTTCTGAAACAAAAGTGTCTGGAATGTAGGTAAATCATTAGTGTAAGCACTGTGCTCTGTGTATGGGTGAGAGATGAAACAGACATTTCTTCATTGCCTATAGGGCTACAATCCCAAATCTGAAGTTATGAAATCCAATTGTTCTGAATCAAATTGTTTTTCTTGGTTGGCATCAAACCCATTGGTAACAAAACCTGACATAAACATTTGTGTTTTTTGTTTTCTTGCAGAAGGACCCTCTATTGTCCCATGCCTGTGTTGGCTGCCTGGAGGCCTTGCTTGACTACCTGCATGCCAGGAGCCCAGATATGGGTAGAAACCCTCCCCATTCTCTGATGTTCCCCTGAGGGCGATGGGAGGAGGCCAGCCTCTGCCACTTCCTGCTCCAAACTGCCATCCCCTGTTCTGTGAATCACACTCATTTTGTGTAATTCTTTCAACAAAACTGCATGGGCACTGTTATGCCCAGTTTACAGATGAGGACACTGCGGTTCAGGAGGTCAGGCCACTTACCCAGCCATGGTCGCAAAGCTCTTAATGGCAGAGCTCTTCCTGTTGCCTGCCACAACAGTGGGGCATATGGTCTCCCTGAGCCAGGCAGCAGAGGGGGATAGAAGCCCGGGGAGGAAAGGAACGTCCTGGGGTCGGCTTGTGCAACGCCCTGCCTCTAGCTGAGTAGCCCTTTTTGAGCCAATAGGAGAGAGTCCTGCTTAGTAATGTTTCAGGGCCTTTGGAAAAGAAGCATTGACGACCCAGGATGACTGGTGTTTCCTATAGCACAACATGTGGCCTCCCAGCCCTGGAACCGGTTTTTACTGTTCACCCTCCTGGATGCTGGAGAGAATTCCTTCCTCAGACCCGAGATCTTGAGGCTCATGACTCTGGTAAGTGCAGTAAGGATGGTCTTGTGGTATGAAGAATGTCGTGAGCTGAGTTGTCCCGAGGAGGCCAGGGACACCTTACTTTAGGTAACCCTAATCCTCAAAGAAGGTACAGGGGGCTGGGCAGGCCTTCATCCCACAAGAGGCCTGCTCAGAGAATTCCTACCAATGTCCACATCTCCTCACCCCAGAAGAGCCAGACAGTCTTTCTCAATTCACTCACTCAAAAAATTGATCAGAGCCTGGCCACCATATGCCAGGTCCTATAATAGGGGCCGATGAGCCAGATGCTCTGCCTTTAAGGATCTCTCAGTCTAGAGAAGGAGATGGACAAGTTCAAGTGTGATGTTATTGGTGGTAGAGTAGGAGATATGCTAAGTGCTTGATGCGCAGTCAGTGTCCATTGAATAAACAACAAAGCAGTGAGCCTGTGAATGACAGTGAAGCAGGTCAGTGAACATCAGTGCTAGGTCTGGGAAGAGAGTACGTGACTAAAGAAGAGAGCAAGTACTCTGCCAGAGCTGGGAATAAAAATGTAGTCGGCACTCAGGGCCTGTCTTTATTACAGTGAAAGAACATTCATTCGTGAAGTGAACATTTTAGCTGAGGCTTGAAGGATTAATAAGTGAGGAGGAGGAAATGTAATCCAGGTAGTGAAGTGAGAGCAGCAGGATATGAACACATGGTGTGTTTGGGTAACCACACAGTCCATTTTGGCTGTGAGTGTGAGGTGCAAGGCAGCGGGGTGGGGTTGGGTCGGTATTGTAGGGTCAGCAGGGCTAACTCTCAGGGTGTCACAGTCTGCCTCATTTACCCCAGTCTCCCATGACATCACCCCACCCTTACTCACCAACTCTGAGCTCCTTGAAGGGTGCTGGGGCTCCAGATCTGTGTAGTTAGCCAGTGCTGAGCACAGCAGGAATACAGGAGAAACGTCTGAATGAAGGAGATGGGAATCACTGCCTGTTCGGGGCTTCTCTCCCGGGCCAGTTTGTGCGGTTCCAGAGCAGCAGCGTCTTCTCTCCTGAGGAGGTGGGTCTCGTTCTGCAAGGCGCAGCTTTGGCTGACCTCTCAACTCTCTCGAACACCGCACTCAAGGCTCTGCGTGGCTTCCTCCTGCAGGTGTGTAGGAAGAGGATGCATGTAGCCGCTGTGATGCTAGACTCTCCACACCATCTTCTGGGTGGAGGTGGGAGGTCTGGTCACAGCAGCCAGTGGGGTCTGGAATACAGGGGGTGGAGGGTAGAGAGGGCCTTTGTGGTGTAGGCTCTGAGAAGGGCTGTTTTCCCTGCCTTTTTCTTCCCTTAGGTTCAGAGCATGGGCCTCTTGACTGATCATAACATGGCCCAGACCCTGCAGGCCTCCTTGGAGGGCCTTTCCTCCAGGGCCTCCTCAGCCCAGCCTCCCCTGCAAGACATGCTGTATCCTTTCTTGTATCTGGAAGCTTTGGCCTGTGCAAGGTCACTCAGGCTATGGGATGGTGTGGCTTCATGCTTCAGGACAGAGAGGTGCACTGCCTTACAGCCCTGTCCTCTCAAGCAGGCAGCGGTCAGTGAAAATAATTAATAGTGATAGCAACGACAATGACTTGTTATTTATTAAGATAGGGCCAAAAAAAAAAAAAAAAAAGATAGGGCCAGTCACATTACGTGCACTGTGTTAATCCTCACAGCATCTAGGAGTGTTAATGTTGTTAACTCAGACCAGAGAGGTTAATGACTTGCCCAGGATCATATCCAGATTTGATCCCAGATTTGCCTGTTGCCAAAGCCACATCACCAAACTCGGGGAGGAGCTAGTCCTTCCCCAGCGGTTTTGGAGAAAATCACCCAGCCCAGGGGGCACAGGTGCTTCCCTCAGCCCAGCATGGATGGCTGCATGTCTCTGAGAAAGCCTGGGGTTGTGGGCAGTGGGCAGAGGCCCTCTGGGGTGGCTGTGGGGCTCCAGAGACACTTTTGGTCAGGAGGTGTGTGTCTGTGTATGGAGGTGCTTCCTCCAGCTCTTACTGGCTCCCTTTCTGCCCCCTCTTTCCCTTTCCCATGGAGTAGTTCCCTGTTGTATACAACTACCTAACCCAGGTGTTCAGGTTCCAATTTTAGAATCTAGTCCCACTCTTCTTAGGAGAGAACCTCTGTTCGTCTGACCGCTATTACCCTTTTTTGGGGCTCTGGAAGTGTGGTTCTCCCACGGTTGGCTCTGCCTCTCTGCTGTTCTCCTCTCATGTTTTGCTGCCAGCTGCCTGGGAGGTGTGGTTGTATCCCTGTCCCACATCAGAGACTGACCCTCAACAATTGAAGACCCAGACATGGAGAGGACTGAGACCTGGAGAAGACAGTCGGGCATAGTGGTTTGGGGAAATGAATGACAACTGCAGCCACTAATCTGGAGCCTTTTCTCCATTGTTGAATCCGGAAATAAAATGATTCACTCACATGCCTGGTGAGCACTCCAAAAATATTTTCCTCTCAACCTATCTTGGCCTCTTCCAGCTGGTTCCTCAGCCAGAATGGGTGGCCTCCTCAGGGAAAGGGGGTAGGATTAGTCCTCGTAACAACCCTACCCCGTTTAGGAGCACCAGTCCTAGCTGGTTGCCTCAGCTGTACCCAGAAAACACTAGCCAGGTCATCCATGCTCAGGGCTGCAGGAGCAGAGAAAGACCATATATTCCCTGCTGTTGTTATCCAAGTGCTCTGAGAGGTACTTTACTGCCGCCTCACCTCCCGTGAAGGTGGAGAGAGGTGTCATTTCCAGGCAAGGAAGCTGAGCAGGTCGAATCCTTCTCAGCCTTCCTAATGAGCGGAACTGTCACAGCTCGGCCCCACACTGGTTAAAGTAGGTCCCTGTGTTCCTTTCTTTAACGTGGAGCTTGTACTTGTATACCCACATGTGTGATTCTTTTATTTATTTATTGATTGATTGATTCTTTTATTTTTAAATATATTTTATTGCTTTTTTTTTTTTTTTTACAGAGAGGAAGAGAGAGGGAGAGAGAATTAGAAACATCAATGAGAGAGAAACATCGATCAGCTGCCTCCTGCACACTCCCCACTAGGTTTGTGTCCACAACCCAGGTACATGCCCTTGACCGGAATCGAACCTGGGACCCTTGAGTCCGCAGGCCGACGCTCTAGTCACTGAGCCAAACCGGTTAGGGCGTGTGGTTCTTTTAGTATCTGCGCTCCACAGCTGCCTCTCCCGTTCCCAGTTCAACCCACTGGGCTTCTAGCTCCTTGCCCGCCCACCTGCCTGCCCGTGAGGACCCCGTGCCCGGGAATGGCCAGCCCGCCCTTCCTTCTCGGGACCTGAGCCTGCACAAAAGTGGTCTGAACTCCGCCCTAATGAATCGACGGGGAAGTTCCCGATGAGCTGGGTTTAGAACTTGGTGCATCAAAGGGGCGAGCAGGGATGTGCCAACTCCGCACGGCTGGTTACTTAAAAACACACGTGCTAGTCATGACACACTAAACTGATCTTGCCAGAACAGTCCGCTGACGAAACACTTTCGGGGAGGGCGCCCGGGCGGACGGGGCCCCAGTGTGCTGACGCGCCCTCTACGTTGGGCGCCGACTTGACTTCCTCCAACCTCATCTTTACCGAGCACCACGCGCCGGAGCCCGACCCAGGGTGGAAGGAACGATTCTCCTGCGGACCTCGCGCGCGACCAGTCCCAGGGCCCGGCGGGGCGGAGCCGGAAGTGAGGTCACGGCGCGACCGGCGCGGCCCGCGCTCATTGGACAGCAGCGGCGCGGTGGGCGGGACGGCGCTCGGCTGTCCCAGCGCTGCGGCTCCCCGGTACCGTGGAGATCTGCGCCTTTGCTGGTCTCAGGACGCCCCTGCGAGCCGCACGCCGAGGGCCTGCCGGGCTGCCCCTTTTGCACCCCCGGCCTGGTGGGTGGAAGTGGGGTCTACGGGCGGGCAGGCTCCAGGTGGGGGCGTGGAGACCGAGGGTCGAACCGGCTGCAAGAGTGGGAGGTAAGATACGCCTCTTTGGAAAGACTCCTCTCCTCCCGGAGCCCCAAAGACGGGGGACAGAAATCGGGGTCCGCGAGCCCAGGGACCTGGCCCAGGGACGCCTCTTGCAGAATGCGTTCGGGTAGCTCGCGGAGCTGGGAAGAGCTCTAGGGCGGTGAGCGGGAGTGACAGTAGAGAAGGCAGAATCCTCCCCACGCAGCCTGGCTTTCTTTCCCCATCTTCCCTGCTTCAGTCATTACCTGCTGTCTGATATGCCCCTGGCCCCAAGTTCTGCTCTAGATTGTATCCGGTTCTCTTGAGTCTGGAGCGTGACATTGGAAGTTAGTGAGTCCTGGGTGAACTTGCACAGCTGTTCATTCTCTAGGTTTCAGTTATATCCTCTGTGTGGGGTGGGGCTGGTTCTCTGGTGATCTGTCAGTAACTGACCATCCCTCCCTTGGGCGTGGTCTGCTCTGAAATAAACTGCTCATTTAGACTTGGTTTAGCCTGGGAATAGCTGAGTGACTGGACAGTTACCTCACTTTTCTGGTTTCCACACTAGTAAAATTGGGCCCCTGTCATCTGAGTTTGAGGCCGTCTTTGGCCACTGAAATATTGCATCCCACCAACTCCCTCTCATTCTTCTGTGCTTGTTTTACAAGTTTATTGGTTATCTCTTACTCCTACTAGGAAAATATCTTGAGTGCAGGGAGCTTTATCTTACTCACTACTGTATTCCCAGCTCTGAAACAGGGCCTAGAACAGTGATGGAGAACCTTTTGAGCTCGGCGTGTCAGCATTTTGAAAAACCCTAACTTAACTCTGGTGCCGTGTCACATATAGAAATTTTTTGATCTTTGCAACCATAGTAAAACAAAGATTTATATTTTTGGTATTTATTTTATATATTTAAATGCCATTTAACAAAGAAAAATCCGCCAAAAAAATGAGTTTGCGTGTCACCTCTGACAGGCGTGTCATAGGTTCGCCATCACTGGCCTAGAACATGGGAGGTGATCAACAAATAACTGCGGAATGTTGCCTGAATAGGAATAGGTGTTGGCTTATGTGCCTATGGTACACAGTGAGTGAGTGGCATCCCTTTTACCCCAAGACCGTCCTGCCTCCCTTCCTGCCCTGTGTCCCTTCCTTTCTGATGACAGAAGTCAGGGAAGGAGGGAAACACCAGAAGTTTCACATCCCCTCTACTGCTTGGACCCCCTTGACCAGTTAGTCTCCTGGGAGGCCAGGATAAAGAAGGGGGGGTGAGAAGGAATGACACTGACCAGCCCCACCTTCCCCAGGTGCCTCCCCCAGTCCTCCCCCACTGGAGCAGGGAGGTGACCTCCTTATTTTTATTTTATAGTGAGGAAGTGAGGCTCAGAGAGGCTGAGCAGCTTGCCTGCTGTTCCACAGCTGGGAAGAGCCAGGCTCTAGCTCAGCGCTCCAGGCACTGAGCCCTGTGCTCAAAGTATCCCTCCATTGCTGACATTTCTCTTGCTTCCTCCTGCCTCTATCCCACGGCCTTTATTGTGTCTGCTGGTCACAGGCCCTGGGCTAGGCTCTGGGGCTCCGGGGCTTCCCGATGTTGGGTTCTTGGTATTTGGAAGCTATGTCATGTCAGGGGGAGTTCAGTTCACCTCATTCTGTTTATATAACACCATGCTCAGGCCTCACCTCCTTTCTCTATTACTCTCCTAGCTCCAGGGTCGTGGATATGGACCTTTTGCAGTTCCTAGTCTACCTGTTTGTCCTGCTAGTGTCTGGGACAGGAGTCACAGACACTCAGAGGACCTCCGTGGACCCGAGCCTGGAGATCTGTATCCTTTGGGGTTGGAGGTGGAGTTAATGTGCTGTGCCTGGGGCACTTTCTAGGGATGGATGAGGCCCAGCTGATGGGAATAGGAGAGAAAAGGTAAGATACTCTCATCAAACCTTGATCGAGTCCACTGCCTTCTGAGCCTCAGTTTCCCTATTATGTTAAACAGAGAAGGCAATTTACATCTCTCAGAGCCACAAGGACTCTGAGAATAGTACATATATGCCTAGTACCTTGTGGGTGAGACCCTGGGCAGGGACTCAGGCCCTGGCATTCTGGGCCACCTACTCTGGGTTCAGGACTTGGGGACACAAAGATGAGTCAGGCCCTGGCTTTGAGGCCTTCACAGGCCTCACATTGTACTTTGTGATCACTGCTGAGATGGAACAGGAGAGAAACACTGTGCTGGCTTTTGAGCGAGGTCTTGAAAGAACAAAAGCTCGTAGGCGCCCTAGCCATGTGACTCAGTTGGAGTCACCTGTATACCAAAAGTGTGCAGGTTCGATTCCCAGTCAGGGCACGTACCTAGGTTGTGGGTTCGATCCCTGGGTGTTTATAGGAGGTAGCCGATTGATGTTTCACTCACACATTGATGTTCTCTGTCTCTCTCTCTCCCTTCCTCTCTCTAAAATCAATAAAAACATATACTTAGGTAAGGATTAAAAAAATAGCCCTGACCGGTTTGGCTCAGTGGATAGAGCGTCGGCCTGCAGACTGAGGGGTCCCAGGTTTGATTCCAGTCAAGGGCATGTACCTTGGTTGCGAGCACATCCCTAGTGGGAGGTGTTCAGGAGGCAGCTGATCGATGTTTCTCTCTCATCGATGTTTCTAACTCTCTATCCCTCTCCCTTCCTCTCTGTAAAAAATCAATAAAATATAGTTAAAAAAAATAAAAATAAAAAAATAAAAAAACTCCTAGAGAAGGGTTGGGGGGCATCCCAGGCAGAGTGTACGGTGTGAGCAGAGGACCGCAGGTTCTGGGGACAGTGACTAGTAGTTGGAGATGGTGGGAAGACCATGGGGAAGGAGTACAGGAGCTAGGTCCTGAAGGGCTGTGTTCAGGCTCTTGGGTGTAGAATCCTCTGTACACTGGACAAATGATACATTGTAGGATGCAAACGCTTCTCAGTTTGTCACTTCTCTGGTAGGGAGGGCCTCGGACCTGGGCATCTGTGGCCTTTGCAGATATGGGCCAGGAATGGGCCTTCTGGGTTGGGGCCACTGGATTATCCAGAAGTATCAGTGCCAGCTCCTTAACTTAACACTGCCCAGACAAGAAGATGTTTGAGGTGAAGCGACGGGAGCAGCTGTTGGCATTGAAAAACCTGGTGCAGCTGAATGATGTCCACCAGCAGTACAAGATCCTTGATGTCATGCTCAAGGGGCTCTTTAAGGTGCATGCAGGCGCAGGGCAGCTCATGGCAGCCTAGTCTTTGATCTGGGCACTGAGGGATGAGTAGGAGTTCCTTAACGGGATGGTGATCAATTAGAGGGAACTACGGGCACAAAAGATTTGAAGTTGGGTTTAAGTAAACTGGGGTGTGGCTGGGCGGTGAAGGCCTCTGCAAAGCCACTCAGCCAGGGTGGGGTTCCCTCAGGTGCTGGAGGACTCCCGGACAGTGCTCCTTGCTGCGGACGTGCTCCCAGATGGGCCCTTCCCCCAGGATGAGAAACTGAAGGATGGTATGGTCTTCCTGACCTCTCCCCCTCCTCCCCACCACCTTGATCTTCTCTAGTTGTTTCTTCCCTCCTGTTTTTGTCACGCTTTTTTTCTCTCTGGAAACACCCTCTTGTGGCACCTTCCAAGTGTCCACCTTTAGTGGATAAGCACTTAGTATATGGTTTTCCAAGAATTTCTGGGCTTCAGAGCCAATTTCTGTGTCCCTGACACAAATGTATTCCTTTGTGCTGTCCTGTGCTTGGAGCACAGGAACCAGGGAGGAAGCTCTGCCCGCTACCACTCCGGGGATCCTTGCCTTCTCCACCCCTGACCCTTCTGATAGAGAAGGCAAGGGTTGTTCGCATTTACAGGAGAAAAAATAGGCCTACTGAAGTGACTGGACACTAGGGGCAGCTGCCCACACTCCTTACTACTGTTCTAAAAGCCTCAACCTTCTTAAATCCTTTTTGAGACTAGGTGGGACAAACATCCTCTATAATAAAGAGCTAATATGTTAATTAGACTGGACAGCGGAACGACCTTCCAGAGTGGCCAGTGGGCCGACCAATGGGCAGGGGGTGAGGCTGCGAGGCAGCCAGGCCGTGAGGGCCGAGTCCCCTGCATGAATTTCGTGCATCGGGCCTCTAGGACATAAATAAGATAAAAGACTATTCTGTGTCCCTTCATTCCCTCTTCCAAGAATTTCTCTCCGGTGATAATTTTCTCATGAACTGATGGCATTTTAACAATAAAACCTCTTAGATTACACTGAGAGAGGATGGAAGTGGCCTTTACATATTGAATGGTGGGCACTTTTACAAGTAACATCTCTCATCTCCACTGTAACTGAGGAAGTTATACATATAACTTGGCTCTTAACCTATAAGTCAAGCTTACTCCTGAGTGCAAGATGGTTTGAAGCCCAGGGGTCTGGCCCCACTTGGCTCAGACCCAGCTGGGCCTGTCTTTGGAGGAGTCAGCTTATCTCTGCACGTGGCCTGGCCAGTGCTGCTGAGGGCTGCCTGGGCCTCATCTGCGGGCACTGGAGCAGGAGCTGCCACCAGGGCTGGGTCTACACTTACTCTTCAGGCTGGCCTGGGCCGGGGGACCTGCCACCATGGTGGACACTAAATTCAGTCTAGGCTGAACTGTTGATGAGAGGAAGGATATTAGTGGGGAAATTGATGAAATTTCAATAAGGTCTATGGATGTATTGTATTGATGTTAACTTCCTGGTGTAGATAGTTGTCCAGTGGTTATGTAAGACTAAAGGCCTGGTGCATGATGCATATGCCTCCTTGTGCAGAATGACACCCACACCTTTGCTCTGGTCCCCACAGCAAAGGAGTCTTCTAAGCCATGAGACACGGGGGAAAGAGCAGGGCCTCTGCAGTCAGACAGAGCCGGGTTTACAGCCAGATTTGCCATTCACTTTCTCCCGGGTAAAATGGGAATGGCCACCACATCTCCCTCTAACGTGGTTTGAGGATTCAGTGATTTGGTGGACACAAAGCCCTTAGCACAGCCATGGGCAAACTACGGCCCGCGGGCCGGATCCGGTCTGTTTGAAATGAATAAAACTAAAAAAAAAAAAGACCGTACCCTTTTATGTAATGATGTTTACTTTGAATTTATATTAGTTCACACAAACACTCCATCCATGCTTTTGTTCCGGCCCTCCGGTCCAGTTTAAGAACCCATTGTGGCCCTCGAGTCAAAAAGTTTGCCCACCCCTGCCTTAGCACAATTGTCCGTTCTCTGCTTATTGGGCTTGGTGGGCTTGCCTCTATTGTCTGGGGAGTGTTTGGGCTGGCCAGGAGGGCAGTAGAAGGTCATCTGCCCTGGGCTCTCATCAGGTCCCTCTCACCAGCTTTCTCCCAAGTGTTGGAGAACACGGCCTTCTTCGGCGATGTGGTGCTGCGCTTCCCGAGGATCGTGCACCACTACTTTGACCACAACTCCAACTGGAATCTCCTCATCCGCTGGGGCATCAGCTTCTGCAACCAGTCGGGCGTCTTTGACCAGGGGCCCCACTCACCCATCCTCAGCCTGGTAAGGACTGGGGCGGGGACAGCCCGGAGCCCTGTCTCCCAGTGTCCTGTGAGCCTCGCAGCTGTATGCATCTGGGCCTGAATGTCAGCTCTTGGTTGCGTTTTCTGTGATAAGCCTCAGGGTACCTTGAGGTGCCATCTCAAGGGGTTCTATGCTGACCTGGGTCCCTATGGGTCATCACCTGGCCTGCCGGGAGCCGGTCCATGCTTGCTGTTTCAAGGGACCTGGCATATATGGCATACTGTTCTTAATATGTTTGCTCACCTTCTTGGCACTATGTGTTTTAACCAAGGTCTCTGAGAAAGGTTGTTTCCCCAGGTAGGGATTTTCCCCTGAAGTTAGGGAGGGAATAAAACCTCTTAACTAAGTGCCAGGTAGGTAATTAATCACTTTAACTACGAACAATCATGCTTAAGCTACATAATCTTTACTCCCTGGAATGGAGATAAGAAACGCCCTAACCTTTGAAATAGAGATTGATAGGATTGGAATCAACTGGTATAAATACCGATGTAAGAAGACAGAACACACAGAACTAGAGACAGAAGAACTTCGCTGGAGAGAACATGGCAAAAGATCCTGGACTGAACCTGACTACAGAAATGGGCAAGAGAACCTGACTAGAACCTGGTGACTGAACTTGGCTGGAGAACCTGGACTGAACCTGGCTGGAGAACCTAGCAAGAGAACATGGACACAGAACCTGGCTGGAGATCTGAAGCAGAACCTCTCTGGAGATCCAGACCAGAACTTGGCTGGAGATCCTGGCTAGAGATCCTGGCTAGGCTGCTGATCAACTGAACGCTGTCTCCGCGTCATTCCTTCTTCGCCAACTCCGTCCACACCTTTGGGGACCCCTGGACCTGCTGGGGTTGGACCCCGGCACTGGCCCATAGTCTTGGGCCCTGGGTTCCAATGTGGAGGGAGTGGCTCAGGTGAGCAAGAGGCAGGAGAAGGCAGAGGATGACTAACTTTTCCTCGTCTGCAGATGGCCCAGGAGCTGGGGATCAGCGAGAAAGACTCTGACTTCCAGAATCCATTTAAAGTAGACCACACAGAGGTGAGCTCTGGGGGCTTGTGGCCATGTCTGTTCTGCTTCTGCTGGGCTACGGGAAGCCAGGTACTGCAGGGGTTGGGGTGCCTGTGGTGGAGTGTGAGGGCTTTGGACTTGGAGACAGACATACCCAGGTCTGGGTCCAGGAACCATCACTCACTCACTGGTGCCTTTGGGCAAGCCATTGCCCTTGTCTTAGCCTCAGGCCGCCTGTCTATTCATGGTGCACCCCAGCTATGGGGGGCAGTCAGAGGCTGTGAGCACACCCTTCCCAGTGAACAGTAGGCACCCACATCAGGTGGATGTGAGGGAAGCCAAGGGGTGTCAAGTCATGCTCTTCTCTGTCCTTAAGCCTCTAATCACCCAGCCGAGCTTCTATCCTCCATTCCTGTACATGTGGCCATTCTAGGGGCCTGAGGTGGACTCTCAGGGCTGAGGCTGTGGGTAGGATGACAGATGGGGACACATACAGTAGAGGAGAGGAGGGGATCAGAGGGGGCCAGAAGGATAGGAAAGAAGGGCTGGCGGGCTGGACTCCTCAAATCACAGGCTGGCCCCTGCTCTAAGGAGGGGAAGGGGGTCAGGATCAGTGAGGCCTCTCAGATTTTATACCCTGCTTGCAGGGTAACAAGCTAGCCTGCCACTGTTACACGGATACCGACAGGTCAGAGGCATCAGAGTTTACAGCAAAAGCAGTTCTAGGCCAGTGGTTCTCAACCTGTGGGTCGTGACCCCTTTGGGGGTCGAACGACCCTTTCACAGGGGTCGCCTAAGACCATCGGAAAACACATATATAATTACATATTGTTTTTGTGATTAATCACTATGCTTTAATTATGTTCAATTTGTAACCATGAAATTGGGGGTCACCACAACATGAGGAACTGTATTAAAGGGTCACGGCATTAGGAAGGTTGAGAACCACTGGTGTAGACTGTTGGACTGGTCATGTTGGTTCCCTGAGTCCCACAGGAGTGACACAGAGGGGCTCACGTGGATGCCACACAGACAGTGGGTTTGCATCATAGCTGAAGAATACTAAGCTTGGAAAATTTACTGATTTATAGTGAACAGAAGTAAACCCTCTCTTTGTTTTGGGGGAGACATCACCTCATCCTTCAAGGTTCGCTGCAGGCACAATCCTGAGAAATGGCCCAGATACAGAGTGGCCGGGGCTTTGCGTTCTTGGTGTATCCAGCAAGAACACACAGGGACGCTCAGGCCACGTAGATTGCCTCCTCTACAGGCCATCCCTCAGCCCTACATGTCTTGGCTTAACTCAGACTCCTCGAATGTACTATTCAATCTATTAATCTGACTGATAGGGGCTAGAACCATATTTGTTCAGTTTGTCTCAGACTGCATTTAATGAAGGCTGCCATCAACAGGACTAAGCCGCAGGATGAGGCCAGCCTGCAGTATTGGTCTCAGCCATGTGCTTCAGGATCCTGGACTCAGCCGGCTGTGATCAGTTTTGGGGAGACCAGTAGGTCTTGTTTTAGACAATTGGATGTGGTCTAAGGCCAATCTGTTATTCATTACCACCCACACAGAGTTTAGACTGACCCGCTGATCTTTGATGTTATTGCCAGTAATTACAAGGGCAGTAGATGGACCCCACAGCTACCCTCTTCCCTAGTGGAGAGATACTCCGTGGCCCATTGTCTCCCACATTATTCTGGATTTGGGTCACCATTACATTCTTTGGCCGAATCCTAAGTGTCACTGTGGAGCTGCAGCCTCAGTTGCCCTACATGATAGAACCCCAGGCCACTTGGGCATCTGGAGAAGAAGATGCATTTGTATCCATCAGATTGAAACAAGGTTGTACTGGCATGAGTGTCTGCACAGGGTCACTTCGGGAGCTGCCTTTGATGGCATCAGGCACACAGAGTAGTTCAGTAATCACGTGGTTGAGAATGACACGTCCAGCAGCTGGTCAGATTGTCATCTGCAGCTGTCACTTGGCTTGGGCAGACTCTAGGATTGTTTTGCCAAGTGGCAGTGCTGGACATAAGGCACAAAAAGGATTGATTATTCCCCGTGTCTCTTGGGATCTAAGGCGTTTTCTTCCTAGACGCTGGGATTATTGCTACAAGATCGGTGTGTTATATCCCAGGACCTATAATGTCACTTTGTCACTGATCATCCCTTACTTTCACCTAGATCTTTGTCCAGAAGGGTCAGATGTGAATGGGACAAGGGCATTTTTACAAAATTTTCAGAGGCATATCATATCCCCTATCTTGGTGGACATGGGCCACTGTGGGGGCAGTTGGCAAGGACGTACTCAACCAATTGGTCATTATCCTAATGATTGTGGGCCATACTATTTCAGCCTGGGACTCCGGGTAGCCAAACCAGAAGTACAGAGTGGGTTTTGTGCCATCAATGGGGCAGGTGTGTGGCTTCATCTAGTACGAAAATGCATTCAAGTGGAAATGACTCCCATCTGGGTAGGCTGGATCCACGGTTTGGTTCTGGTCAGTCTCATCAGAGAGAGGGCCTTCCTATGGGTTTCTAAGCGAGTGACCCAGACTGTCCAGTTTTCAGCCACAATTTGTTTCCACAGTTCATCGCCCCGAAGATGGATGGCCATCTCATCCACTAGTCTGTAGTCTTCTGAGCGGTAGCCCAGAAGACTGACGTGCTTGGTCATTAGGAGTATCATCCAGCAAAGGTGGTGGTGGCGGCTTTTAATTCAGATCATTGTCTGACTGGCCTTTGTGGCAGCTAGTCTTTCGTTGTTGTCACTGGAGCTGATGGCTGCTGTCACCCATAGACAGCTGTGTCAGGGGTCCCCCAAACCTTCCCCAGGTTAATGATTCACTAGGGCTCAGTGTATGGCCATGCTCACAGCCATGATCTGTTAGAAAGACTGGCATGTCTGCTTGTTGATGGGAACGACCCATGAGGGAGGAGGGACTAATGGTGCGGGGGTAGGAGAGTTGCTCCATTGCCAGGCAGCACTTGAGTTTAGTGTCAGGAATTTAAAGTAGACTTTAGCCAGGCCTCATGGGAAAGGGATCCAGGAAAGGATGGGCAGTGTTTCCCTTTTGCCCCAACTAGGTTTGGGTCCCTGGTGAGGCTGAGCCATTGAGGATGAAGGGCCAGGATCCCTTGACCTGCCAGCTCATCTCCCCCAAGAGGACCAGAAAATTAACTTGTAAGGACAGGAGGTAGAGTGTGGTCAGGCAGCACTGTTCATGAGGACAGCGACACTAGAAGGGGACTGGGTTTTGAGGAGATGCAGCCATGCCAAGTTGGGGGCACATTTGGGATATCCCAGTGGAGGTGCCAGGCAGGCACTTAGATATGGAGGTACACATTTGAGGGGTAACTGGCCATATAGACATAACTGAAGCCATGGGTTTGGAGAGAGTAGAGGGAGAAGAGTGCCCCCAATCAAAGTCCTCCTCCTCCTCCTCCCATCCCTGTTCACCCTGTGTTCCCGTTTCCTCACCAGCACCACCATCCACCATCCACCATCTATGAAGCCATGAGCCTGGGCACTATTGTCTTCTCTTTCTCCCACCCCCTTTCCAGGGTCTGTCAGTTTGACCTCTGATCCACCTGCTTCCTGTGCACTCCCTTGCCGAGACAGGATGCCTGCTGTCTCTTATTCTCGCTGGCTGCTCTCCCCTCCTCCTCAGGGGTATGGCAGCCAGGGCGTGGGGGGTGGTCTGCGGTTGTCGGGCACTCGGCCCCTCACTCTGGGAGGATTCTGTTTATTGTTTCTCTGATGCCCGTGCTTGTTCACACCGTGGTGCTTGTCCCTGTGCCCGGAATGTCCTCCTCCCCTCACCCTCTTTGCTGTCAGCCCCTTAGTTATCTTTCAACCCACTTAGCCTTGTCCCCAAGCCCATTTAACCATCTCCATGTCGTTGGCTCCCTGAGGGCAGGGCCTGCATCTGAGCAACCCTCCTGTCCCCCACAGTGCCCTAGCTCGGAGTAAACTGCTGCCAGTGGACTGAGTCAGACCACTCTGCTCTTCCCCCAGTTCATTTCTAGCACCGACCCTTTCCAGAAGGCCCTGAGAGAAGAGGAGAAACGTCGGAAAAAAGAGGAGAAGCGGAAAGAGATCCGAAAAGGCCCGCGGATTTCGCGATCCCAGTCCGAGTTATAGCCCCGTTGCAGCCCATGGTTCAAGGGGCCAGGAGGAAGAAGAGGAGGCAGTGTGGCCAACGTGAAGCGGTGCCATCTGGTTGGTGGTGAGAGTCGGCACCTGTGAGAGGGGAGGCCATGTTTGCTTCGCCCCCGGAAGCCGGCTTTGAGCCCAGCTGCAGGGACTGGGCCGCGGAGGGCTTGGGTTTCCTCCCGGGACCTCCCTGGAGGGAGCGTTGAGGGGACCCTGTGCTGCAAACACAACTCTGGAGGTGCTGGGGGAGGTAGGACGGGTGCAGGACTGGACCCTCCCAGTGGTTAGTACTGATGCTCGGCTGGCTGCTGCTCTCCATGGGGAGGCAGCAGAACCGGGGTCTGAGCCACGTGTGGAGGTGCCACGCCTGCTGCTGGCTGCACTGTGTCACTGAGCCACAGGGCACAAGGTCCAGCCCCCTTCGGAGACACAATAAAAGTCGGCAAACCCTCTGGGCAAATCACAGCTGATTTTGGCCCTAGGAAGCTGTGAGGCCTTTTCCAGGCAGGTGGCGCGGGGCCTGGGTTGGGGAACCAGAGGTCCTGTGCCGTGTAGAGAGCACCTCAGAGGATGTTCCGCTTCATCAGGGAGCCCCAGGCTCTGGCGGGGCACAAAGTAGGGCTTGGCTTAGGCCTCCGAATCCCTTCTCTGCCCTGTCCTTGACGAAGGGTCAGTGTTGGAAAGGGACTGGAAGTGTCCTGGGTGGGTGTTTATCCAAGGTGACCTTGGAGTAACATGATCTCTATCCTCAGCTAACTGGGGACAGCCATAGAGCAAGCACAGGAAAGAGTCAGCTGTCCTTTCTGGCAATGCGGCGAGACCCTCAGCCTGTGGGCTGCAGCTCTGCAAAAGACTGCATTGTAATGGCAGGGCTGTCCCAAGCTGGATGAGTCAGGCAGCGAGCTCTCTGGCTCAGGAGGTGTGCGAGCGGAGACCCGTGGTCACCACCAGGCAGGGAAGCTGCAGGGGCCTGAGCGAGCAGCTGCCCTTCAGTTGTGCTCTGCCCAGGCAGATAGGGAGGAGCTCTGGTGGGATTTCCAGCTCTGTCTCTTCGACCTTGCAAAGCCAGGGTCTGCTTCTTAAAAGGAGAGAGACATAACCACCCCAGAACATACCACCACCACCACCAACAGAGCCCAGGGGAGACCTGAGTCTTGTCTCAGCCCATCAGGCTTGCTGAGTGACCCTGGTCCACCCGTTCTCTGTTCTGTAGCTTCACTGGCAAAGTGAATATGATAACATCTGAACTGCTTCTCCAAGGCTGGGACCTGGCTTCTCAATTGCGGGTGTCCTTCTCTGATGGTTCTTCATTCGTCCCATAGATTTGCTGAGCACCCACTGTAAGCCCAGCCAAAGAGAGGGGTCCAGTCTTACCTATCCTCCCTCTGCCCCATCTGGTACCTTCATCCTCCTGGGCTCTTCCTTCTACATCTTCGGCCTCTCTCCATCTTCAAATGGTTCCAAGTTTTCCCATCTGACACCTTCAGAGAAACACACAGAACTGCCCTGCTTTCCCCCCTCCTTCCCTTTGCTGCACTGTGGATTGTGTGGTCACTTGTTCCTGGAACTCCACCTTGAGTCATACTGTAGGCAGAGCCTGTCTGCTCCCCTGCTGGAGCTGCAGAGGCCCTAGGGTACTCGTTTGTCCAGCCTTCTTGTAGCTAGCATTCAGTTAGTGACTGATGTGCCACTAACCAGATGCACCGTGTGAGTGTGGTGGTGGAAACAGTGGCCCACAGGGTCAGGGGGATTCCTAGTGGCCAGACCAGCTCCCAGGGTGCCTGCTGGTGGCAACAGTGATGTCTTCATTGGTGCGTTCAGCATGGTCTTGGACGTCGTTCCTGTCTGTTGAGCTTCCAGACACGATCTGTGACACCCGTGGAAAATCTGGGTGCTCCCAGTATCCCCTAAGACAGGGCTCCTCAGCAGTGGCACTGTTCACATTTGGGACCAGATAATTGTTTGTTGTGCAGAGGTCTGTGTATGTGAGATATTTAGCAGCATTCTTGGCCTCTACTTACTAGATGTCTGTAGTCATCTCCCAGTTATGACAACCAAAAATGTCCCCAGACATTGCTGGATGTCCCCTGGGGGCAAAACCTCCCTGGCCACATCCCTTCCTCCTCCTTATCTCAGCCCCACATCTTCCTGTGCTGTCCCATCACTGCCTGGAAATGCTGTTGGTAGTTCCTGAGGACCCTCCCAGGCCTCGGGGCCACTGTGTTGTCCTTGTTTTCTGCCTTTGGTCTGCATCTGCTTTGTCTCTTCCCGACTTCTCTTTCCTCACCTGCGCCCTGAATAAAGAGTTTACTGGCTTAGTCTCTCCTTCCTTCTTCTTGACAGCTGCATCCTCTAAGACAGGGATAGGGAACCTTTTTTCTGCCAAGGGATATTTATAACATCATTCTCCAGCCACATAAAATTATCAACTTAAAAATTAGCCTGCTGCCCTAGCCGGGTGTACTCAGTGGTTAGAGCATCGGCCCTCAGACTGAAGGATCCTGGGCACATACCTCAAGTTTCTCGCTCGATCCCTGGCCCTGCTTGGGATGCGTGGGAGGCAACCAGTCAATGTGCCTCTCACATCGATGTTTCTCTGTCGCTCCCCTTCCCTTCCACTCCCTCTAAAAATCAATGGAGAAAATATCCTCGGGTGAGAATTAACAACAACAAAAAATTAGCCAGGTATATTTGGTCAAACATTTAATTAACTCACCCCCAGTGCCTTGGCAGGGCCAGACCAAATGATTACTAGTAGACCCGCAAGCTGGCTGTTCCACACTCCTGCTCTAAGACCACAAAGCTGGTGGCACTTGCCCTGTTGTCACCTGATAAGCCTCAATCCTTATGTTTCAATTTACCCAAAACCAAATGTTATTTTCCACCCTGAAGCCTACCTCTGTGTTAAACCATGAGATACGCGCTTTTGCTTAATCCTGGAGGAAACGATACATGAACTGAATTCTAAAAGATGGGGGGAGGAGGGAGAAGGAGACAGACACTGACAGAGGCCTACAAGGGGAGGCATCAGAAGCAGTAAATGATAAAACATGCCAAGTTCTCTTCTATGACCTGTCTGTGGTGGGTGTCTGGACATAATGATCATCTGGTCCAACCCCTCCCTTTCCACATGAAGAATGCAGGCCCTGAGGAGTGACTTGTCTGAGGCTGCTCTACCCCTGGAGCCAGCCTCAGTTCTCCCCGCCAAGGCAGGGTGCCAGCGGGAAGAGCTGTTAGGTTAGGTGAGAAGCCAGGGTCGGAGGGAGAATGTCAGTGTTCTTTGCTAAGGCTGGGTCCAGTGCCACCACCTTTCTTCTACAGTTTTTACTGAGCCTTCACTTGTGCTCCCTCAGGCTACTTTGCTAGGAACCAGGGCCTCTGGGCAGGTTGTGTCCACCTACTTAACCTGATGCTCCTACAGCAAGCATGTCAAACTCATGGCTCACCGGCCGCAAGTCTGACATGCTGTTCTACAGCCTCCTGTGGGGGTTTCTGAGGGAATGAGAGGGCACTGGACCAAATTGAGTCATAGGGTAGGCCAGCAGATGGTTTCCCTCCCTCTCACACCCCCCTCCCCCCCACAGTAGGGGGAGCCCTGTGAGAGCCACTAAGAGGTGCAATTGAAGGTCACATTGTCCAGCTCAGTGCCTGGTCCAGAGCTGGGCAGCAGGGTTTGGTTTCCTGTTTCAGAGGGAGACCGGAGACCGGTATAATCAATACCAACTCTAGTCTGTAAACAATGAGAACATTCCTGTCTTTTTCCCCCCAAAAAACAAGACTATTTATGTTACACAATTCATTATAAAAAAGCATACTGAAATATCAAGAAGACAGTAAAATTTACCCTAAACCCACCATTCCCATAACCATGACTGACAGTCAGCTGTTGGGCCTTGCATCCATTTGCCCTTCATGTGAGCGCGTAGATCCCTGTTCTTTTCAATTACAGTAGCTCCTTTGTGTGGGCACTTACTACATGCCAGGCTATGCCACGTGCTGGCTGGTAGCCGCTTCTGCTGCCTCGGGGTCCCTGTCCATGTTGTCTGTTGCTCCAGCTACACCAACACCATCTGCAGGTCTCTCCTCATTGTGTTAAGTTTTGTCGTAAATATGGGCGGCTTTCCTGACATCCCAGGGCAGATCCCTTGTTAGTTTCATCACACCCTGTTACTTTTCTTTGATCGCTTGTGCTATGTATTGTCTGGGGTTTTTTTTTGTTTAACAGTTGTTCGCTAGACTGGCAGCTCTCAGAAGACAGGAACTATTTCTGTTTGCCTGCCACAGAGGTGTTCAATAAATATTATCAAAGACTGCAGATGATCCCGTTTAATCCTCGCTACTATGAGGGGACACGATTCCCATTTTAGAGATGGCAAAACTAAGGCTTGGAACAGTCACACTGCCCAAGGGCACAGTGCATAAGTGGGCCCATATGTCTGCCTCACACGGCCTGTGTGCTCAGAAGCCTTGAGCAACAGCTGCCTCTCGCTCATAGGGAATATACTTTTCCCTTTAACAATATATTGCAAAAGGCTGTCAGTAGGTATACAGTTATCTATGTAATTTTTTTTAAAATATATTTTATTTTTTTACAGAAAGGAAGGGAGGAGAGGAATAGAGAGTTAGAAACATCGATGAGAGAGAAACATCAATTCAGCTGCTTCCTGCACACCCCCCACTGGGGATGTGCCTGCAACCAAGGTACATGCCCTTGACCGGAATCGAACCCAGGACCCTTCAGTCCGCAGGCCGACGCTCTATCCACTGAGCAAACCGGTCAGGGCTATCTATGTCATGTTTAGTGATGCATGGTATTCCATTGTGTGGATGTAATTATTCACCCAGCCCCTATTAGGCTACCCAATTCCCTAGTTAGACTTCGGGGTGGAAGTCTTTAAACACACACACTTGCGGACTTCTTTGAGCACTGGTACTCCATTCCTTAGGATAAACTAGAATTTGCGGTTGTTTATGTAACCAGCTGCAAGATGGAGCGGTGGGTGCTTGAAGGAGTGGGAATCTGTGGGTGGCTGTGCCTCAGAATTCCTGCGGAATTTTGTCAAAATGCTCACGCCGCCCCGCCTCGCGAGGCTCGTGGTGGCCCGGGCACTGGCATTGCTTTAAAGGTCTGCAGGCGGGTGTGTGTGTGTGTGTGTGCGCGCGCGCGCGTCTGTGTGTGTCTGTGTGTGTTGTGTGTGTCTGTGTGTGTGTGTGTCTGTGTGTGTGTGTCTGTGCGCGCGCGCGCGCCTCGATAACCAGAGGAAGAAGCGCGTGTTCGCGGCAGGTGCGAAGGCGCAGAGGTTTTGGACAATTTACGGTCCACGCTGACCCTCCGTTTCCTTTTTATAAGGGGCGTGGGGGGAACGCGGTTTGAATGGTCTCCATACTCCTCAGGGGCCCCGGTTTGATTCCATCCGCTCTCCTCTGCGGGCAGGGCCGGGGGGAAGGAGGGGGCGGCAGCTGGGAAGATGACGTAATGTGCGCACAGCTGGCTGGGGGGAGGGGTCCGACCAGCGGGCCCGAGGGGAGCGTGTTAACCCTTCAATTCCCGGCGGATGGATGGACTAGCTTGCGGAGCAGACCCCACGGAAAAGAGAGCGGCTCCTTTAAACAAGGAGAAGGAGGTTGGGCTGAGGACCCGGAGGCTTCCCTTCGCAGTCCCTACCAGACCGCGAGGGGCGTGGCCTCGCTATGCAAATCGGAGCTGCTGATCGCTGACGCGCCATCACCCCACGCGCCGCTCGCCGCGCCGATTGGCTACGCCGCGCCTGGTCCCATTGACAATAAACAGGGGTGCGCGCGGCCTGGAGGCGGGGCCACGGATGGGGGCGGGGAAAATCCCGCCCCGCCCCTCCTGCGCGGCGCAGACATGGCGGAGGGTGGCACCGGTCGGTGAGGCGGTACCGGGCGGGGGCTGTCGGGTGTCATGGGTGGTGGCGGCGGCACCACCCTCGCGTGTCCCTGAACAGGCCGGCAGGGAGGCCTCTGCGCCGAGCCGGACGATGGACGAGAGCGGCGAGCTGGGCGGTCTGGAGACCATGGAGACGCTCACGGAGCTGGGCGACGAGCTGACCCTGGGGGATATCGACGGTGAGTGGTGGGTGGGGGACTGGGGTGCGGGGGCGTGCGGGGAGGAAGGGGTTACGGCGGCGCGCGCGGGTGCGCTTGCGCCCCCCGCCCGGAGTCCCGGCTCGCGCGGGAAGGGCCGGCGCGCGCGGCCGCCCCGCGGCGTCCCAGGCTTTCCGGGCGCTGCGGGTTTGAACCCGAGCCCGGCCGCTCCGTTCCGACAGGCCGTGGGGTGTGCTCCGGGCGTCGCGCGGCCTTTCGCGTAGCGAGGGTCGTGAGGCCGGGAGCGCGACCGTGGCCTGAGGAGAGCGCGCGGCCGCCGCCTCCCTCGCGCGCCGACACGCGCCGCCCCAGGCCCCCTCGCCCGCCGCGCCGCGTTGCACCTGTCACTCCGCCCCGCCGCGGGGGCGGCTTTGGATTCCCGGGCGGGCCCTCGGCTCGGCGCCCCCAGCCCTGGCTTCTGAGCTGGACCCGCGAGGGGTCTCCGGAACTCGGGAAGCCGTGGGCAGCGGGCGGCTGCCAGAGCGAGTTGCTGATGAGACGGGCGGCGGCGGCGGGTATGGGAGCATCTCTGCGGAATGAAGACGCGGGCTCTCCTGCTGTCGCGCTGCACAGGGAGTTGAGCAGCAGGAATTTTGAGTTGTGGCCCCGCGGGCACAGGCAGGGGAGCGGGTGGCCTTTGGTCCAGCAGCCTTAACCGTGGGAGAGCTGGCGGGGGCCCGGGGATCCTCTCTTTCGATGCTCTCATGTTGTTACTACGGGAACCTAAAGTTTGGAAAGAATCAGCGACCTGCCCAAGGTCACCCAGCTGTTTACAGAGCCCAGTTCCTGGGCCAGTGTTGCTGTCTCTGCTTCAGGCTTCCACCTGACCCTTGAGGGTGAGAAGTCCAATGAATAGGTTAGTAATTGTGACTCTCAACAGTTGGACTGTTCTGATGTTCTAGGCTCCAAATACTTTATATTGTTTCACTTACTCCTCACTACAATCCTACAAGATAGAGATTCTTATTCCTCCTATTCTTCGGAAAACTGAGTCCAGGAGTTGTTAACGTGGCTAAGATCAAACCTTAAATGCTCCAGAACATTCTCTCAAACAGTAACTCAGGTGCACTGTGCTCCTGACTTTCCTGTCCAGGATCTCAGTGCAGCCTTGCAGGCAGGAATGATGGTTCCATCCCCATTGTACAGATGAAGAAACCGAGGTAGCAGAAGATCATCTCCAAGGGGAAGAGATCATTGGCAGCAGCTAATTGGAAAGGATCAGTTTCCCATTTTGCTTCTATAACATTTTACCCTTGGCCTGTCCTTGCTTTCCCTTTTTGGTCATCTGGGCAGCCTGGTAAGACCTTTAATTGAATCACCAAGTCTAACCACAGTCTTTTCTACCAAGTGCTCCTAAAACAGAGATGGATTAACAAATGGGGGAGGCCAGTATTTGAAACTTGACACGGGCAGCTAACATGTGTTGAGCACTTCCATGCCAGGTATTCTGTTAAATACCATAAACATTAATGTTCTCAATTCTTAACAGGTCGAGACTACCATTATACTACTCTCATCCCCTCTCATGGATCCTGAAATACAGCCCAAGGCATTTTATTAATTTACCCAAGGCCACGCAGCGCGCAAAAAGTATGCCTGAAGCTGCCTACCAGGGGGCTCTCACATAGAAATTTATGTCCATTTTGCATTCCCATTCCATAATCGATCCCTATTTGTCTTAATCTATAATGTGTTAAATTACCTAGTGGTTAAGTATTAACTTTATCTCTGTAGATTTCTGAGTAAATTGGACATTCTGGAAGCTACCACAGCGGTTCAGTGGTTTCATAGGTCTCCATTCCAGATTTGGGGGAAAGTGGCTCCCTGTCTTTAATTGGTCAACAAGTATTAAAATGCCTGCTGTGGTTTTTGAGCTGTTAGGGAACATGAAAGATAGGGAAGACAATTTTATGGCCTCATGGAACCGGAGATGAATTAACAATAAAACTGCAGTGCTGAGTATAGAACAGCTCACGGGTGCACAGAGCAGTAAGTGAAAGTTAGCATTGCGGAGCTTGAAGGCTGGCTTACCAGGAAAACTACACCGAGGAAGTGGCCCTTCACCTGGGCCTTGGAGGACAAGATGGGTTGGGCAGGCTGAAGGCCAGTGGTCTGCGAGTACAGACATCCCTGAACGTACCCCAGTTCCACCTCCAGAACCTCAGCACTACCTTGTAGGGCAAGAGCCTTTGTTTTGTTCATGCTGTATTTGCGCCTAGAACTAAATATTTGTGGAATGCCTGAATGAATTCAGGACCTTGGACTGGGCAGGATTCTAAGTTGTACCAGACACAGTCCTTGAGGTTGAGTTAAATCGGGAGCCAATCAGATGAGGAGGAAGAGACTGGGTGTAGATACATATACTGTTGTATGTGTGTGGTGGGGGAGAGGGGATGCTTGCAACCTTGAGAGCTCATACCTGCTCTAGGAAAGGCAGGCAGGTGAGCAGAATCCTTTGGCATTGTCGGCCCTGCTACAGTCCACAAGCGTATGGGCCCAAGGAGGCCATATCCATTCAGTCATTAAGCACATCTCTTGAGTGGCTTCTAAGTACTCCTATGATGGACAAAGTGCGGAGGATAGCTGACTAACTTTGAACAAGACATTCAAAGTCTCTTCTCTTTCCAGAAACTTTAGTTCTTGAGGGAGGAAACAAACTGAACAAATAAAATAAATGACACTGTTGTGTCATGGCTCTATGAAAATAAAACGGGTCCATCTTATAGAGAGTGACTGGTAACCAAATTTGGACTGAGTAGGCAAGTGAGGAGTCTCAGAAGAGAGAGCAGCATCTTAAGAGATGCCCAAGGCTGGATTTTTGTGTGTAGTACCCAGATTTTTAAACATTGGCCCAACGAAGCATGTGAGTTAGTTGATCTCCAGGGCCTTGTCCTACTGCCTAATGCTCTGTGGTCACAGGCCAACCAGGCCTCTTAGGCTAGGGTGTCTACAGCACTACCTTTGTGGTAGGTATGTCTATTGAGACAGGGCCTCGGGCTTCATGATAAGCCAGGTCTTCTGGAAAGACAAAGGCAGGACTGTCTTCCCCTGGAATAAGGAAAGGCACAGTTGTAGAGGTTTTATTTTGCTTGACCCAAAAGGATGGGTGGCGGAAGCAGCATGATAAAAATGTGAAAGGAGAATGATAAAATCAACGATTACGAGTAATTTATTGAAATATATGGTATGTATAAGGAAATAGTAGAA